TTCTGCGAACTGATGAACTAGCAGAATCAGAAATTCATGGAATTCAGATTAGCTGATATTCTGAAATTTTACAGAGTTGGAATGATTCAAAAGTTGCCTGGGATCGTAATCAGTGGGAACTCTCCTGGCTGAATTTTTACTGGATTCAGATATGGACACCACAGCTTGTACAACTTGAATCGTATGAATCATTTTATTCTTTCAAATGCTTTGTCTGCTTAAAACTGTTCATCGCGGAGCATTTGTGTGTAGCCAGCAATGAAGCAAACATTCACCCCTAGCTAATACACTCAGCTGTGCTTGTTACTCTCTCGTCCACTTATCTACTGGACCGTTTCTACCGTCTAGTCCGTTATTTGTTCGGATATCATCCCAGTGGTTCCTTGCTTTATCGGTCTACCAGTGCGTGATTTATACCAGCTATAAGAAAAGAGGGCAGCATGTTCCACTCAGTACTGCCTGCAACTACTACTACATTATAAGCCTGCTTTGCCTTAAATCAACAGTATGAGATTCTTACAGTGATTCTTCACCGCTCTCCCCTCCCTTTATTTCTCGCCCCTCCCGTTCCTCCTGCTCCACTTTGTTTAAAAAAGTAGTTTACTCTGTGTTCGATCGTTGTCTTTCTCACAGAGAGCATCTATCTCTAGGCTTTTATTAGTGACAGCGTCTCGTAGTCGTAAGTCATAGTTTCCAACAATGCAATTCAGAAGAAGCAACTGCATGTTTCTTCGCCTGTTTTTCTGATGGTATTAACGATGTAAAATTTGCGCCCTTTTCCACGGACAATCTCCAGCTGGTGTATGTTCATTTCTTTAGTCAGCCAGAAAAAATTTTTAAATTAATCACATTTAAATCCCCACCTGTTTTTGTTGGAATTCATTTTTTGCGTGCAAAGTCTCAATTTTGTTGGTGATTTTGCTCTGAAGAAAAGGATTTAAGCTAAGCATTTTTGCATATTTTTGCGCTAAGTAGAACTTTCAGAACAGCTGTAAATCCAGGAACGATGGTGAGCAAAGTGCTGGCAGCGAATTACACGGGTCAAGTATACATGTGGCTTGATTTTTCGTTCACTGCTCCATACAGTTTCCAGTATGAAGACTATCCGAATGATTACCAGCGTGTCTGCTTCAAGTTTGACGATAAACGATATTTTACCGTTCGATTTGTTGTTGCCGATGAAGTAAAATCGAAACAACGCGAAGAGCTTACAGAAACGCACAGCACGGGCTGGACACTGGAAAATGTCGAAGTGAATGTTAGTTTCGTTTTCGTATCCGGAGAGAGCTGGCCTGATATGTTGTTCATTTGCATCGCATTTTTGGTTCAGGGCTGTTGCTCACAAAGCCAGTTGTGCAACTTTTTTTGGTAGCAAACTGATGCTTTAATTCGTATTGACTCTCAGCTTATAGCATGATTAGTCCAATATAAACTGCTATTGTTTGCATCACAAGTACCATTTTCGTTCTGATTCGGGAAAAGGTTTTTGAGCTTCATCTTAGCATCTCAACAGAAAAACAAAATCTCTTGTTGCTTCAATTAGGCTGAAGCTGATGTCACTTTTAATCCAAGAAAGCTAAACGTCTAATCCCTGTCTCGAAATAACGTGGCGCTTGTGTGCGAATATCGCTAAAAATGTTCGCACTTCCTGGGCTGTCTTGTAATTAAGCGTGTTTCAAAAAACTTGATTTATTTTATCATTACAGGACAGTAAATACTTTGTTCAAGTACTTGGTGATTGGCGACGAGATCCGTTCGATGTGCAGACGTCAAACTGCCAACTTTGTATGGGCCTACGCCGTAATGCGGTGTACTTCACAACGGAAATGCTATTGCCAGCACTTACTACATCCATAATCACAGTATCATCAGTACTATTCCAGCTTAGTATTACACAACCAACTCTTATTGCTTTTTCAATCCTTGCGCAGATGATTGCCTTAACACTTATCAATGGCCGACTGCCAACATTCGCTATCCATACACCAACTATATGTTTGTTTTATTTTTCGCTTGAAAAATATTATTCAAAACCTAAATCTCCTCTGCCAGGTATTTTAATGCGTTGCACATTTATGCAGATGCAAAA